CAAATACCGCCCCATCACGTGTCTACCCACGATATACAAGACACTAACATCCATTTTGAGCGCGAGAATCAGTCGTCACCTGAACTCAAATCAGGTGATGTCGCGCGCTCAGAATGGATGTAGGGGCGGAGATCGTGGAACCAAGGCACCACTCTTCATTGACGCGGTCATTGGCAAGGTGGTTAAACGCAGCCGTCGGAACCTCTCCGCCGCCTGGATAGACTACAAAAAGGCATTCGACTCGGTGCCTCATGCATGGCTTAAGAGGGTCCTCGAGCTGTACAAGATTGACTGTACAGTTAGAGACTTCCTCGGGCAGTGTATGATGACGGCTGCGGAGAACCACATAAAGATAAGAAGGGGTATCTTCCAGGGCGATTGTTTGAGTCCAATCTGGTTCTGCCTCTCTCTGAACCCTCTCAGTACGTTACTGGAGGTACAAAAGTGACCCACCTTTTCTATATGGATTATCTCAAGTTATTCGCCTCCAGTCGCTCTCATCTTATGGAATTACTAAACATCACTTGTAATTCTAGCAATTCTATTAGAATGGAGCTGGGGACGGATAAGTGTGCGGTATTCAATGTTGAAAGGGAAAGGGTTGCTAACTCTGAGGGCATAGATTTATCTATACCCATCAACATAAGGACCCTTTCCGAGGCTGAAACATACCGATACCTGGGTATGTCACAGAATATCGGTGTAGATGAGGCGGGTATGAAACAGTCAGCTTGCGATATGTTTTATGCACGCTTGAACAAAGTGCTTAACAGCCTTTTGTCCGGTGTGAATAAGACGCACGCATATAACGGTTGGGTCATGCCTGTTCTCATGTATACCTTTGGCATACTTAGGTGGACTTAGACCGAACTAAACGCTCTGGACAGAAAAGTCCGCACTATAATGACGTCCCACAGGATGCATCATCCGAGATCGTCAGTAATGAGGCTGTACTTGCCGTGGAAGCATGGTGGGCGCGGCTTTTTAAGCGCGCTTACCATGCATAATCGCGAAGTGTGTAGCCTCCGTAATTACTTTCTGACGAGAGCGGATGATCCATACTATATGGACGTTATTTCTTGTGATAAAGGACTTACCCCTTAGCCAACGAGCATTGGCGGGACCCGGCAGTACAGAGCATTTCCGACCGGAAGACCGTATGGAAGGAGAAGGAGCTCCACGGGAGGTTCTACAAGGCTCTAAACGAGCCTTTCGTAGACACAGTCGCCTCCCTCCACTTGCTACGTTTCGGTGACCTCTTTGGGGAAACCGAGGGTTTTGTCTGTGCGATACAGGACCAGGTTATTAAGACCAACAATTATCGGAGATACATCCTAAAGGATGGCACCGGCGACATCTGTCGAGCTTGTCGCCATCCCGGTGAGTCACTTAGGCATGTCATCTCCGGTTGTTCGGCGCTTTCTAACTCTGAGTATTTGCACAGACACAACTTAGTAGCCAGGATTCAACACCAGGAGCTCGATCTGAAATACGGTGTCGTGGATCGGAAACTGCCATATTATAATTACTTGCCGGAAGCCGTGCTCGAAAACCACCGCGCCAGGCTCTACTGGGACCGGGCCATCATCACAGACAGGACTATTCTTGCGAATAAGCCTGATATTGTGCTGATGGACCGGGCACAGTCAAGGATATTTTTGGTCGACATTACCATTCCTTATGACGAGAACCTCGTGAAAGCCGAAACAGATAAGTTGACAAAATATCTGGACCTGGCTCACGAGGTGACCGACATGTGGGGTGGACTGCCGGCCGAAATTATACCTGTAGTCGTTTCTGCGAATGGGTTAATTCCAATCAGCCTCTCGGGTCATCTGAGGCGACTTGGCCTCCGTGACGGACCGCTCCAAGCTCAAATGCAGAAGGCGGTGCTCCTCGATACCACCCGCATCGTCCGCCGGTTTCTTTCCCTTTCCCCCTAACCCTCGGCCGTTTGGTCTCCCCTGCCGAGGGCTTTCATCTAGTTGGGTTTTTATATATTTATGTATTTTTTATGTATGTATTTTATTTTATTGATATTTATGTACGTTTACCATGATTATCTACAATTATATATTTATGTTTCCCAACCAGATGAGAAAACTTTATAGATACCACATAATAATAATAATAATTGGTATTTATTTTCTCCCACATATTATGATCAGTACACCACAAGAAACAACAATGAACTATACAACTAAATAACAGCTATAAATATTAACTAAATAAGATCTAGGTGGGAGACTGGTGCCCAAACTAGGTTTCCCTGTGCTATGGGATCACCAGGCCCCTCCCTCAACAGAACTGATATTGCTGTAAAACATTTAATAATCAATACAGCTATACGTGTAATAAAATTACATTAAAATAAACTTGTTCAGTTTGGAGAAACTGTGTAAAAATAACTTATTAGTTATATAAAGAAGAAAAACATGCTTTAAGTAGTCTACTAGTAAAGGTAAGCAGATGTATTAAGTGTTAATAATGTGGTGTGCGTGCGTGCGTGTGTGTGTGTGTCTCTGTGTGTGTGTGTGTGTGTGTGTGTGTGTGTGTGTGTGTGTGTGTGTGTGTGTGTGTGTGTGTGTGTGTGTGTGTGTGTGTGTGTGCATGTGGCGTGTAATATATACGGGTATTTACACAATGCGTTCAAATAGTTTTTCAGTCTGTTCGTAGTCTAATGATTTAAGCCATTTGATTAAGGAAATTTTTGTCTGTCTTTTAGTTAACGGATATATATTTAATGATTTGTTAGCAAGATTATATACGACTGGGCCTCTGTAATTGAAAAATCTTCGTGCAAATTATAAATTGGTAACAGGTATTGTGCATACCATATGAGGAATTCTTTTGTTTAATACAAGATTGGATTTATTATATTCCGTTTTAGAATGATTTAATAATATTGTCCCAAGAATATAGAGCTGACGTACAGTGAGCAATTCACAGAATTAGTAAAGTTCATTTGTTGAAAATAATCGATGTTTTTTATAACATATTTTAAGTATAAGTCTTTGTGCACGCTCTAACCTAATAATGTGGCTTTTTGCTGCACCACCCCAAGACGTTATGCTATAGTTAATAATAGATTGACATAAGGCAGTACAAACAAATTTTATAATACTGGTATCAGCAAGATGACGAAGCTGCTTAAAAATGTATGTAAGTTTACGAACTCTGGAAGAAATATGGTTTATATGCTCTTCGAAATAAAGTTTGTGGTCTATTATAACACCTAAGTATCTTTTGTTCGTGATCTTTTCAAGAGAGCGACACGTACACGAACTAAGCGGTGATATGCAGCAATCATGGACATATAAGTTTAAGTTCTGTTCGCCTTTTAACCCTTTAATTCGTAAAGTTGAGAATACTCAACATTCGAAATAAATAAATCCTGTATGAAAACTTGAACGCGTAGAAAAAATATTTTTACTTTGAAAAAAAGGTGAAACGAAACGCAACTCGTAAAAAGAAAGTTGTGTGTCACAAACGTCAGATTTTGACAGTGGCGGCAAAATGGCATCACGTTCATCTGCACCGTTTGGACCTAAGGTAAATAAAATTTATTATTAGCAATTTAAATCATATTGATACCTATTATTGCCTTGCATTTCAATTTTAAATTATTATTTTATGCACGTAATGAAAAAAAGCCTGAAAATATTGTGGTTTAGTATGTGTTTGATGGTTTTCAAGTTGAATGTTGAATATACTCAACAATGCGAATGTTACTATTATTCACCTGATTTTTTCTATGTTGAGTATTTTCAACATTGCGAAATGCTTTAGGTTTTGTCCTATAACTTAACATGATGAGTATATTCAACATTGCGCGTGTACTAACATTTATTCCCCTCTTATCTGAGACCCTATTATTGTTCATTTTTCGCTTTGGTTTTGGATGCCCTACGTTTTTTGTGTTATTTTGCTTCAGAAAATGCTTAAATGGCAACGCACGCAAAAAATTATGGCGCTTGTACCTCCCGCAAAAGCACCCTCCGATGACAGCAGCACATCTGAAGATGAAGTTATAATCAATAATTACACAAAACCGAAAAAACAACAATCATCTGACTCAGAACACAACTACGAATCATCTGAAACACGTTCTTATCCCTCTGAAATTGATGACTTAAGCTTAGATTCACATTCCGAAGATGAGATTCCTGCGACGCCATCACCTAGGCCACTACAGCTACAAAATGAAAGCAAGTCATACTTACCCAATTCCAAAGAAAATTCTCGTCCGACGACGCCTCCATCGCCAACTCCGCCTCAACTAAATGATTGCAACATACCTGAAGTACCATGTTCTGAAGTCCAAACTCCGATTTCGTCTGCGTCGATGCCACAAGATATAATGAATGATTCCATACTCCACATACCAACAATTCCCTTGTCTCCTTTAATTAACCAAATGTTTTCACCAGGCCCGTCAAATCAGCCGCTCCCATTCACACTGAATTCGGTCTCATCAGTATTATCACCTAACATGTCTCCAGCAGCACCTAATACACGTTCAAAGCGACGACAGAACACAAAACCTAAACACCCAGCGGCAAAAAAAGTAAAGAAGTTTGTAAGAAAACCTCTATCATTCAAATTCAGAGCAGGAAAACTACAGTACGCAGCTATATTTGAACCACCGAAACACGATTTCTCACCCGATCCACATCATTCAATCTTAGATTATTTCACTGACTTTTTTTCAAATGACATATTCGAATTAATAGTAGAACAGACAAACTTATATTCAGTTCAAACCGATTCGAGATCTATAAATATAACAAACGATGATGTGAAAGATTTCATAGCGATTACACTCATTATGGGGGTAGTGAAAATGCCCTCTTACAGAGATTATTGGAGTCGATTTTTAGCTAAAAAAGTATGAGAAAATAAGGAAATATTTACATTTCGCCGACAACAGCAACATTAACGACGACCGTTACTACAAAGTTCGACCAATTATTGAAAAAATTAGGCTTAATTGCTTAAAAATGAAGGAGGAACAACGCTACAGCGTCGACGAAATGATGGTCCCATACAAAGGGACAAGAGCGGGAAGTAGGCGCCAATATCTACCTAAAAAACCAAAAAAATGGGGGATGAAGTTATTCGTTCGAGCAGGCGTCTCTGGTTTAGTGTATGATTTCATTCCTTATGGTGGAGAAGACACGTTTAGAAATCATTCTTTTACTGAATACGAGGAGAGCCTCGGTCTTGGAGCAAAAGTTGTGCTAGCACTTTGCAAGACCATTGAGGATAAACCTGCAGTCGTATATTTTGACAATTTCTTTACGTCATTGGAGCTAATTCACCATTTGCGTCAAGAATACGGTATTTTTAGTCTTAGTACCATAAAAAGTAATCGTTTGAGAGGTTGTCAAAATAAACTACTAGCAGATAAAGTTCTCGCAAAAAAAGGACGGGGTGCAAGCTCCCAGATCGTCTGCAATGACACGAAACTTGCTGTTGTCAGATGGTATGACAATAAGCCGGTGACATTGGCTAGTTCATTCGTCGATTCCCATCCAATGGGAAAGATTCAAAGGTATTCCAAAGATACAGAATCTAGGGTGGAGGTCAATTGTCCTCAGATTGTGAAGCAATATAATGCCCATATGGGGGGCGTAGACTTGGCGGACATGCTTATCGCTCTATACCGTTCAAACTTTAAAACTAAGAGGTGGTACATGACCATGTTTTCACAATCTCTGGATATTTGCGTCAACAATGCTTGGTTATTACATAGGAGAGATCATGCTGATCCTAAAGACCGTTTACCTCTCAAAAAATTTCGGATACAGATAGTATCTGAGCTTTTACATAAAAACAGAACGAGGGTGACAGTGAGTCAGGAAAACGATCCTCCTAAAAAAATAATTACTCCAGCTGCTCCAAGACCGACTGATGCTGTACGATATGACAACAATGGACATTTACCCATGTTTGTGTCGTATGGACGGTGCAAATACTGTAAAAATGGGTACACAAATATTACTTGCTCAAAATGTATCCTCAGGCTGTGTCTAGTTAGTAAGAGAAACTGTTTTTATAATTACCATGTTAAGTAATAATATGTGAATTTGATTTTTTCTACTAAGGCTGTGTCTAGCCAACTTATTCTATGATTAATTAATAAGAAATAAAACTTTATTTGATTTTCTCTATAGTTTGTTCTTTTATTTTAATATATTAGTAAACTACCTTTACAAGGGCAATGTTGAAAATACTCAACGCTCAATTTATTAGGTAATGTTCCAATATGTCGCGCAATGTTGAGTATTTTTAACATACGATATTTGATAAAGTATACAATAATAATAATAATTTCTATTTTTTTTGGCTATAATTAGTCAACATTAATGCAATTAAACAGAAAAAAACATGTTTACATAACTTTTATTTTTCTGCGCATTAAAGGGTTAATGCTGGTGTGATAATACAAAAGGGAATGTATTTAGTTTAGGTTGCATTTAAAGATAGGTAATGCGTAGCAAGCCATTGTTGGACTGTATTAAGACCAGTTTGTGCAACAGAATAAACTTCTTCCCAAGATTGACCGTAAAAGGTAAGTGTGGTGTCATCAGCATAGCACATTACCTTACAATTGAGAATGTTAATTTGACAGAGGTTATTAATATAACACAAAAAGAGGGTAGGGCCCAGAACACTGCCTTGGGGATTTCCGCGCATTATACAGCAATCGTCACTCAAAATATCATCAATTTTGGTGCACTGAGTGCGATTGTGTAGGTAGTCACTTAGCAATTGAAGCTGGGTACCTCTGATGCCCAATTTCTCCATAATTGCGAAAAGTTCTGGGAAAGAGACGGTATCAAACGCTTTAGCAAGATCTAAAAATATAGTTAAGACTTTTGAATGAGAATCTAAGTTTATTGCAACGTTATCTACAAACATTCTTACTGCTTCTTCTGCACATTTAAATTTTCTAAAACCGAATTGATTTTCAGACAGTAATTTACATTTTTCTAGATATTCTAAAAGTCTTTTATTTATAATTTTTTCAAAGAGTTTTGATAAAGTAGAGCGTATTGATATGGGGCGATAGTTATTGATACAGTCTCTTTTACCTCCCTTGTGGATAGGCAGTACAACTGATTTCTTAAAAGCATCAGGAAATACACCGTCTTTTATACATTGGTTAAAGAGCTTCGTAAGTGGGGGCACAATGTAATCTTTTAAAGCTTTAATTGTTTTTGCCGAAATACCATCCCATCCAGGTCCAGACTCAGTCTTAAGACTAATTATCAATTGTTCAATTTCATCTTGTGAAACATCCTGCATCACAAAAGAACTATTATTAGACAAAATTTTTTTTACAGCATTGTGAGGCAATTGTGGAACATTTTTAGGGATATTATTAGCTAATTCGGTACCTATAGTGGTAAAGTAATTATTCACATAATTTACTGACTGCTCGGGTGTGTCTTTAAGGGTCAACAGCTCTTGAGGAATTTTTTTGCAATTTTGAGTATAAGTCGCGTTGTGTATTGTTTTCCAAAGTTTTTTAATATTATTTCTATTTTTAGTTTTTCGGTTTGGTGAAATTTTCTTTTTTCCTCCTTAATTAAATCATTACAAAAGTTCCTATATCTCTTATATGTTTTTACTAAAATATTGTTATTCGGATTTTGTTTTGCTTTAGAGTGTAATCTGTCGCTGTTCCTTATACATCTTAACATGCCTGTAGATATCCACGGTTTTATAGTCAGCCTACTTCTAGGCAATTTTATTATACTTAAATTATTTTTTATTAGACTTTTTAGTGTCTTCACAAAGTATGAAGTATAATTATTTGCGTTATTTTCTAATAAAAAATTATTAAAATCGATATTTTTGCAATCATTAATAAGATTATCATAATTAATTATTTTGATGAATTTATTACGAAAAAGTGACTTATTTTTCATATCAATACATGTCAATATACGTTTGTGGTCAGTTATTGTGGTGTTCATTATGAAAGTGCAAAGTGGTTTCCTAGTTTTGACTATGACATCATCGAGGCAACTTATATCCGTGGTTAAAATATATATTAAATCAATCAAGACGTGTCGGCTTTGTTAGCAAATTTATGCAACGACGAGGAGTTGTGGAGTCTAGAAAATTAGACGCCGGGTCGATTAATTGTTTGGAAATTAATGTTTAACTGTACCATCGCGTTAAGTGCCTTAGAAGGTCGCGTTCGGTTCTAGAAATAATTTGTTGCTGAGTCAAACGGATGTGAACTTTGACCCACTGTTCATTAGTCGTGCCGTGTGTTACGATTTTGATTATAATTGACGGGGATTTAGTTGAGTTTGGAGTTAGTTAAATGTACAATAAAGTTGATAGACTGACATAGTGAATTGAAGAAAGAAATTGTCAATTGGTGACGTCCGCTGGAGTGAATTACATTGTGGGGCAGCATGGGACCAGGCCGCTGTCCGATCACCTCAGCTGGGTCAGGCCACATATATAAACACACCACTAAACACCACTTATATGCATTACATCTACCGCCTGACTGAGCCTTGTGTCCAGTCTTCTCCTCTGAACCGGTACGTACTATTTATTTACATAGCCTTATCTCTATCGTGTAGGTCAATTGTCCATGGGCCATTTGGGCCCCGTCCTTAGTTATTCCTCGAGTCTACAGCTGTATGGGCCCTTGTATAGTCGACCTTTGTAGGGACAGCTAGGGGCGTGTACATTGTTGGAAGCAGGGAGCGTGGTTTATTGGTTCTCCAATCGCCCGGCCGTAATATTGATAAAAATAGTACGTCATAAAAATTACACATTTTTTTTGTTTGTTAGCGGGTAGATTTAGGTACCACGCCCGTTAGGTTGCGCAAGCGGGATTGTGGCTTAGGGCTAGGTATGCGTCAAGTATTTTGAGTAGGTAGATAATGTTATCACGTAATCGGATAATTATCGTTCTCGTATAATTATAGTAGATTAATTATCGAAGGGTCGGTCGCTTCAGCGAGGCCTCTTTTCTGACCGACTGTAGTGTGTACTTGCCGTGTAGTGTAATTTGTATTTAACTTGATTTGATAGGAATTGTATTTGTTAATTTGATTGTATTTGAGCCGCGTATTAATTGTATTTATTGGTGATGCCATCGCACAAGCTACCGATTCGTTGCCTGAAGGCGGAACTGCGCTGGGCCGCTAGCGCCCATGCTTTGATAGGTCGACCGGATTGGATCTATAGTTTGGAGAAACGGCTCAAGCAGGTCGATGCTCGAAGGGCCGTAGTGGAGGAGGCTTACGCGGAGCTCGAGGACTCGGATGTGGAAAAGGGAGTCCTGGACTCCTGCCTCGCGGACTACGAGCAGTTCTTTTCGCTCACGGACGACTTGATCAAAGCTGGGGCCAAGTATGCTTATGAAGATATGATAAGTGGCCTACCCGAGTCCCCTCTGAAGCGGCCTACTCAGCAAGAGCTGTTGGGACGACTCCCAAATCTGGACCTGCCAAGTTTCTCTGGGGTCCTCTCCGACTGGATGATTTTTGTTGGGCTTTTTGATAGCCTAGTGGACGCCCGGAGGGATGTGACTCCAAGCCAGAAGATGGCGTACCTCCTAGCTTCACTGGAGGAGGTGGCCCTGGGCGTCGTCAGCCATTTGAGATTGTCGGACGACGCCTACCAGACTGCTCGAGAGCTCCTCGCCGGAAGATACAACAACGTCCGGCGCATTGCGGACGAATACGTCAGGCAGCTTCTAAACCTCCCACTGCTTAGGGACCGGGCCAGGCTACGCCCGGACATCGTGAATCCAGTCTTGTTGGCCTGTAATGCGTTGAGACAGCTGGATTTACCGGTGGATGAATGGTCCTTCTTGTTGCTCCACATCGTGCTGTCCCGCCTGCCTCTCGACCTTAGGATACATTTTGAGGAGAGGTATGGCAGGGACGGCGCCTCCTATATTCCGTCCGCCCTTTAGTGATCTGCTGCGGTTCTTGGAGGAGCAGTGCTGGCAGATTGAGAACGCTGCGGGCAACGTTGACGACTTACGAACCGTGGCCAGTGAGAGGCGGGATCCGCCGGGCAAGTCGTCCTCAACCCCCCTAAAGCCGATCGGAGCTCCCGCCAGTGGGCGCCGCTCGCTACCATCTTACAGTGGCCTAGTGGCCAGGGAGGCGCCTCCCTGTTCCTATTGCCGAGCTTCCGATCACCGGGTGACGTCGTGCCCGAAGTTATGAGGTAAGCAGGTTCCGGCTAGGCGAACTATCGCGAAGGAGCGCCGCCCGTAATAATCTTGTTTGGAAAGGCACCTCTAGCGAGACTGCCCGCACCAGCGGCCCTGTCCGCATTGCCAGGGCAATCAACATGCAGTTTTGTGCCTGGGTGCGAACGGCGGCTCCTCTCGGGGCTCTGCCGGGCCCTTGACCCCCACGGGCGGGGGCGCTCAGCCGCGCCCTCTGTCGGGCGACGCTCGCTCGGCGCTCACCGGCCAGCCACTGAGCCACTAGATTTGAAAGGGGTCCCTTCCCCGACCAGTCAGCGGGTCGTCCCCCCAGGGGCGGGGTTGTCGTCGCCCCCCTTCAGCGTGTGCAGAGGAAATTCACGACCACTCAGCAGTCAGCTAGACCCTTCTCACCCCCGTTAGCTGAGTGGCCGCGGCTTGGGTACCGCCGTCCCTCCTTTGTTGGAGGCAGCCCTAGCTAGCTGCAGCCCTAGCTCCCACCACGGCCGCCTCCACTAATTCTTTGAGCCGTGAACAGCTCACTTGTCAAACTGGTCTATTGCCGACGGGCTCAGTGAGGGTGTACAACCCGAGTGTCGATTGTTTAACGGTACGCGCTCTATTGGATTCGGGTTCACAACACGGTGTGGCCTCCACTTGGTGGTTAGGAAGACTAGGGCTCTCCTGGAGTGTTGAAGCACGCTGTCAAGGACTATTAGATTTGGTTTTGGTCGAGCACTTAATAAATTATGCTTTAGATTAAAAATAAAAATGCTTTTGGTTTTTTCGCGAAATGTTTCATATTTGTGGTGGTTGTGATTAAGAAGGCGAATTTAATTTGCTCTTTGAAAACTTGTACATATGTTTTTTTAATTGTGT